GCTACATATGCATAACATATGGGATTATTTTCATACCCTTTTTCTCCGTGACTACCCTTCATCCTTCCACTGAGCCTCTTCATTGTGTCCAATTCTAACATCCCTCCTTTGTTTTACTTCTTAATCATAGTTGGTATTTCTTAAATAAAATATAACTCATGATACAGGACTTTCTGTGCTTATCTTACTGAATGTAACATGGGTTCCAGATCTATGCGTATCTTGGCAAATGCATCATTTCATCCTCCTCCACAGCCAAATGCCATTCCATTACATATGCAAAATGCATCATTTTCAGTGCTGGAGACTGAACCTAGGATTGAGCACTGAGCTATTTTCTCAGAGTTATTTGTCTTTTGAGACTGAGTCTCCTCAATCAGTAGGTTGTCCAGGCTGAGCATGAATGTGCCACAGCTTTTCAGGATGCTCCATCTGGCCCAGGTACCCCATCTTTTCTCTCAACACATCTGTGAATGGACAACCAGGCTGTGTCTGGAGCTTGACTTTGCTAAGTTTTACTGCTACAAACAGATATACACATGTCAGTGTAATATGATAGCTTTAATTTTGGGGAATGCACCCAATACAAGTATAGCTGGATAAAATGGAATTTCTATTTTTATTTTTAAAGCAATTCCTAAATATGCTTCCATAGATGTCATACTACTATGATCCTAAAATATTATGGGAAGGTATCTTTTAATACTGGATTTGGAACAAAACTAGATTAAATGCTTTTGGGGATCTCTTGAAAACAGCTATTATCCAAAGAGGGGTATTCATTTGCATATTTAATATTTCTTTTTCTTTGTGTTTTAGGGAAGGGTCTACAGGGTATTCAGGGACTTACTACTAGATCGGGCTCATAGTGATTCTTCTGTTTACAGCCTCCCAAGTGCTGGGATTACAGGCGTGTGCCACTATACCCACTCTCAATTGCCATCTCAGTGTGCCCCAGGGGCGGGGCTGGTACAGCAGGCCTGAGGATTGAACCCCCACCCCCTGTGCCTGCTTGCAGGTACGTGAATCAGCTGAGCTATTTAGCTGGCCCTAATAGTTCTTCAAGGTTACCAGGGTTGCAAATTCTGAATGTGTATATCACATTTAAATACATGTAGCATTATTTACATAATTTGACAAGAAAGTCTTTAAAAAATATATGTAATGAGATACTCTGCACTTGTCTCTCAATTAATATATACCTATAGTAAATACCTAAATACAATTTGTTATCTATTACATAATATCTCTTGTTGCATAACGTCAATACTCCATATATTTCAGATATTGAGAGATTTCAAATATTCAATCATCAGATTCTAGATTTTTTTTTCAGAATCTAGTTATTAAACACGAATCATGGGGCCGGGGAGATGGCTCAGTAGAATAAGCACTTGCCTGGCAAGTGCAAAGACCTGAGTTCAATCCCTGGTTCCTCCAAAAAACAAAAATAAAAATGAATCTTTGGAGAAATTTTGTGACTAAAGAAATTTGAACATCACCTCATTCTATATGTTTTTTGATTTTCGAGACAAAGTTTCCCTGAGTAGTTCAGTCAGGCTTCAGACTCACTGTGTGTCACAAGCTGGCCTCTAATTCCTGGCAATCCTCAGGTCTTAGTCACTCAAGCGGTAGGATTCTGTGCACATGCCACCATGCCTTGCTTTCTGTATTTTTTTTTTTTTAACATGTGTTGTTTGCGTAGTATCCTCTCACATTTCTGGCCTTTGAAAAACATTCTTGTGAGGGCAAATTACCTTAGGTTTTTCTGGAAAATTCTGTCTTCATCTTCAATTTGTTGGTCACCCCAGCTTCCTCCTAAAGTGTAGAAAAAGAAATATAATGATGAGCGAATACATTACATAAAAACATTAGCTTCCAGGGGCCAGGGAACTAGCTCGGAGGTCTCACTGCCTGCATGGCAAGCCGATGGACATAGGCTTGATCCCCAGTACTGCATGCTGTGCTGGCAGCACCACACGCCCCTGAGCTGGCCACTGAAGCTGGCTGTGGTGGTGCACGCCTGTGATCCCAGTGCTGGCAAGGCTGAATCAGGAGGATCACTACGAGTCTGAGCTGCGCAGTGAGACCCTGCACCAAATACACAAGCTTAAAGAAATTAGCTTCCAGTTGGATTCATGTCTGAAAGATTTATGAAAATATGTGCATATTCCAATAAAGTAAATGCAATGTTGTGCAAAAACCAATGCTTTCTGATTGTAAAAGTGAGAAAGTATCTCCCTTACCTATAGCAGTCACATTCCTAAAGTTTTCCCACATCACATCTCTGAAGAGCTCCTTTTGGGATGGATCCAGCAAAGCCCACTCCTCCATGGTGAAGATCACAGCCACATCCTCAAATGTCACTGCTTTCTAAATCATTAAAAATACATTTCCAAAAAGAAGAGTGAGATTCACACATGAAATATCTCAAATCTACTCATAAGAAACTCAAATGAGGGCTTGCCAGATAGCTCAGTGGATTAAAGGACCTGCTTAGGCAGATGCAGGAACTAGGGTTGGATCCCCAGCACGCCATGCTGGACCCACCCCTGGGGTACCCTGAGACCAAGATTGAGACTGGGCATGGTGGTACACACCTGCAATCTCAGCTCTTGGGAGGCTGAAAACAGGAGGATCAGTACAAGTCTGATCTGTGTAGTGAGATTCTATAGACCCTGTACTAAACACATAAAAAAGTTAAAAAAAAGTTAAAAATAAATAAATAAAAATAGTTAAAAATTACAGAAATATTAAAAAAAGAAACTCAAATGAAGCTGAATCTCACAAATGCTTACACACCTTTGACATCAAACTTATTCTTTATCCACATGCATTTGTCAGACATGAATTTTGGTGTTAGATGAGAATTCACTGCTAACGAAATAGCAGAATGGGAATAGTAGCTCACTTGCTGGATAACCCCTGTTTTATTTCTATATTGTCTGTAAAGCAGACTCATGGAGAGGGCCTATTAGATCAGATGTGGAGTACAAAGAACTGGGTTAGATGAATATCTAATGACTTGATCTGACAGAACATAGTCAAGTTATTATCTAGGAAACGTATGCTTTCCCGCTCTGATCTGTATTTGGACATCATTGTGAAACGTGAAACTGCTTTCATGGACAAAACTGTAATGAGGTACAAAGTAAAATACATGAATGGTAATTTATGATGTTAATGAAAAGAACCACAGTATTCATAGGAGAATGTGTAACAAAATAAGATTAAGACAGACATCTTAGAACTCACTGACCAGAAATGCCAGCCTATCACAGAGATATAAAGATGTCTAAGATATAATAGAAAGGAAAATGTGGGGATGGACCAACCAAGTGAGAAATATGCTTCTAGTCACAGGAGGGAGCCATGCCCCCAGCCCAGAGAGGATGAGGAGAATGAGTATTTGCTGCCAGTCATATATGGTGGCCCAAATGCCAGCCCAGAGGAAGCTCCAGGACAGACCACATGGATTATGAGTGAAGAACTTCTAAGACTCTTAAAATCTCTCAAGTGAAAATTCAGTACTTTATAGGCTAAAAACAAGTTATTAGTCAGGGAACTCATTTAGATTTTGGATAGCATATGATTTGCAATGCAAAAAAAACCCCCAAAAACACAAAACAAGTCATGTTTAAAATGGGAAATATTAAAAGCTAATTTTGGAGTTCTCTTTCTCATCTTGCAAGATGGCATGTGAAAAAACTGAGAAGCCAGACACTAAAGAGAAGAAACTCGAAGCCCAGAAGGCTTCTGCCAATGGTACTGGTAAAAAAGGTAAGGTGAAGAAGGCAAAAAAAAGTCTAAGAAGGTTCAGTAGAATAAGCACTTGCCTGGCAAGTGCAGGGTCCTGAGTTCAATCCCTGCCCCCACCCCACAAGTCCAAGAAGGGGCAGCCCCACTGCAGCTGAAATCCTGTCCCGGTTTAAGGAATTGGTAGATACTCCTGATAGCCTATGTATTCCAGAAAGACTTTGTACAAGAGAAAGTACACAGCTGGTAAATCAAAGGTTGAGAAAAAAAAGAAGGAGAAATTTCTTGCTATAATCACAAAACCGGGCAGTGGGGACAAGAATGGAGGTAGCTGGGTGGTTAACTTTTGAAAAACACCTAGATACTACTCTACTGAAGATGTGATCCGAAAGCTCTTGAGCCACGGCAAGAAACCCTCAGTCAGCATGTGTGGAAACTTCGAGCTAGCATCACTCCTGGCACTATCTTGATCATCCTCACTGGGCATCACAGAGGCAAGAGAGTGGTCTTTCTGAAGCAGTTGGCCGGTGGCTTGCTACTTGTGATTGGGCCTCTTAGCCTTAATCATATTCCTCTATGAAGAACACACCAGAAATTTGTCATTGCCACCTCTACAAAAAATGACATCAGCAAAGTGAAAATCCCCAAACACCTCACTGATGCTGACTTCAAGAAGCAGCAGCTGCGGAAACCCAGACACCAGCAGGGCGAGATCTTCAACACCAAGAAAGATAGCAGATTTCAGAGCAGCACAAGGTGGATCAGAAAGCAGTGGACTCACAGATTTTAGCAAAAATCAAAGCTGTGTACCTGTGATCCATTTTTGCTCTGACAAATGGAATTTATCCTCATAAATTAGTGTTCTAAATTTCTAACTAAGAACCTAATCAAATAACTGATACTTTTTTTTAAAAAAAAAAGCTAATTCTGTTTCTAATTATACACTTGGCCAAATTACTGTTCTTCCATTGAATCTGTGGAAAGGACAGAGCTGACAGAGCTAATTTAAAGACAAAGACTTAATTATAAGACTATACAGGATATTCTATGAATACACCTTAATAATGAGTTGACCAAATTTTTATGGGTCACAATTCAAATTGTTTGAGATACACTCCAAGTCTCCTGCAGTGAAGTCCATTAGCTGTTGCAAGATACTACATATTTTCTGTAAGAAGTGATGTAAGAAAAACTGGTAAACTATTTCTCTACTTGTGTGCAATATTTTTACACTGTCTTTACTACAGCTAACATCAGTTCCAGACCTCAACTCTGGCAACTCATCACAGTACCAGACAATCATATCTACAGTCAATATGTTTTCTGGGTCTACCCCAAACCTGTTTTTCTATGTATTCCGTTTCCTCAGCAGGCAGAATAAACTCCTTGCTGTCTGACACCTGGCTGTGAACTCATGCTTACATCGAATACACTACTGCAGACACTGGGTAAATTGTTTGACAATATTCATGAAAACTGACAGAGCCCTTCAGTACTGCATATGTATTACATTTGGAGATGTAGACTCAAGAGAGCCCAAAATCATTATCCACAAAGATATATAGATATTACTGGCAACATCTTATGTGAGATCATGTAAATATCCCAAAAATGTCAACACAGTGTAATAGACAATTGGTTAGTGCACCAAGATTCTGCCTCCATGAGCAGGTAGAAATCATGGACAGATACAAGCATTAAGGAGGTGTGATGAGTTAAGGAATATCAATCTCTGTGTTGAACTAGACAGCAAATGCAGAGATCCAGTACTCTATCTGTATACACAGATGTGCTTTTAATTCCATTTCCAGTTGTGTAATATTGTGACAGTAATTTTTCTATCCTCTGGTGCTTCAGCAAGAACCAATGTTTTAAATGGAACTGGGCTTTCTAAGATCATTAGGAAGATGAAAGAATCTAATGTACAAACAATGTATGTAGAAGTACTGACTTTCTAAGTGTATGATAATGTAGTTTTGAATACAAGATGTGATTACAAGAGGAATAATTCTGGCCTTAAAATACACACACACACACACACACACACACACACACACAAAACAGGTTTTTATTATATAGAAGTGAGAGGTAACATGGTTCTTATTCAAACCTGTAGAACATTTGGAGTTTTCCAGGGAAAAGAACTAATGAGGACAGAATTATACTAAACAGTGAAGCAGTAGGTGGAGGTAAAAAATAATAAGGAAAGGATAGCTTCTGCCTTATAATACTTGATAACAGATAATGTCAATTTTCTGAAATTATACCCATAAAGCAATTTTTTTTACATTCCCAATGAATCAAATTTAAATTTGTTTAGAGTATGAGAACATGAAATTTGTTGGTGGAGAACTCAATGGAATGGTCTTGTAAGCAGTCATATATCAGAAGTAAGAGAAGAGACATGGCACTGCTAAAACATACATCTACTTTGGAGAAGAAATGGGGAGAGTGGAAAGAAATGCATTTAGACAAGATATTACATGGGGCTGTCACTGTAAGGCTGACTCTTGTCATCACTGCCTGGTGATACTGCTCATTTCCTGTGATCACTTCTTAAACTGTCTCTAACATCTTCTTCCATCTCATATAGTACTTTTTGGCTCTGGTTCTATTGGGTAAGCAAAGGGTCTGATAGCATCAAAGTCTTTCATAACGTGGAAACAATTTTCCTTTCTTACAATGATCTTTGTTATGCATATCTCAACATTAAAGGTAGTCAAACTTGTATTTTCTTCTTGGAAATTTGTCTAATTTCCTTCATAACACCTAGAGTTGCATCCTAAATACAGCCATTAAGTTTCTGTTCTCCAAAAGACCTCAGTGTGGATATAAATCAGTATAGAAATCCTTAGGGAAACATTAAGTCACATGCAGTCCACAACACTGCTTATCATATAGTACATCCTTGTATATTGGAGGCTTGTACTATGAATAGCAACGCTTCCCCAAATTTTATGTCCTAAATCCTACTCCCCTTCAAGATGGTAAGATGTGATGGACAATTTGGGAATGAATATGATCATGAGGTCTGAGCCCTTAATAAGATGCATCCATATGTAAGAGGCCAAACTTTCCAAGTAAGGACACAGCTAGAAGGTACCAACTCTAGCCCATCTTTCATTATAGAATTAAGGTGTGTGAGGTTGTTCGGGGTGGCCTGGGTGGTGGCTGTGGCGGCTGCCGCGCATGAGTTGGGCCATGGCGGACAAGGAGCTGGAGGCACTGAGGAAGCAGAGGCTGGCCGAGCTGCAGGCGAAACACGGGGATCCAAACAATGCAGCACAACAGGAAGCAAAGCATAGGGAAGCAGAAATGAGAAACGGTATCTTAGCTCAAGTTCTGGACCAATCAGCCTGAGCCAGGTTAAGTAACCTAGCACTTGTAAAGCCTGAAAAAGCAAAAGCAGTAGAGAATTACCTTATACAGATGGCAAGATACGACAGCTGGGTGGGAAGGTCTCAGAACAAGGTTTAATAGAAATCCTTGAAAAAGTAAGCCAACAAACAGAAAAGAAAACAACAGTTAAATTCAACAGAAGAAAAGTAATGGGCTCAGATGAAGATGATGATTACTGAACTAAAAACGTTTAGAGACTGAAAACAGCACACCTAGGA